GAAGGATAGAAGAAACACATTGAGTGTTAAATGTCATAACTCTCAGAGGATAAGAAGCAGAACTCAATCTAGAGTTTTCTACCTTTGGTTTTCTCTGAATCTCAATTTCTTGGCCTAATAACTACAATTTGCTTAAACTGATGAGGTTTTTTTTTTCTTTAGTCCCAAAGTACATGATAACATCCTCTTTATTTTTTTATCCTCCCTACAGCATTTGAACTTACTTCTCTCTTTCCAGACCTCTTTGCTCAATAATATCTATACAAATTGTTATCTTTGGACTGGAAAAGTCAGTAGCATCTAAAGTTAAGATCCAAAGTCTGAGGGAAATGAATTTGGTTTAATTTTAAAACCCTAATCAAGTTTCTTTAACTTTTCTAAGTAGCAGATGGCTTTAACCAAAGTCTAGATAGGAAAGAAGAGAGAACAAAGGCCATGATTTAGGATTCTCTTATTGACTTTATCTTTCTTGACCTGGAGAACAGAAAAGAGATAGAAAGAAAGAAGAAAAAGGTTGACAATTCATTTGTTCTCCTTTCTTTGGCTCACTTAGTATTGATGAAGGAAAGGAGTGTTCCATGGGTGGTCCAAAAGTTCTGAACAGCTTTGGGCTGATGTGCAGATAATGGATAATACTCAGGTAGAAGTGCCTGGTGAAGCTGCTCCATTTTGAGGTGACTTGTTTGGATCTGTTATGCACTCAGTAAAGAGTAGCCACAAAGAACAGAATCTTGTACTACTATAGGTCCCATATTCACCTAGGGGTGTGGGGGACAAGGGTCCTATCCCTCCAAACTATTTGTGGGACCCTATCTTTGTGTTTTGGGCCCCTGCTTTAATAAATGGTCCATACATAATATGAGACAACTGCCCTTTGAGTTTCATCTCAACTCCAAACACATGTTTAACACCTTTAGTTAATATTCTGTGGCAACACTATTAGTTGGTTAACCCAACCACTTCTTAACCACCCTTTCTTTTTCCTTCCTCTCATTGAAGAGGCTGGAAAGCAAGCTACTCACTTCACAGCCTCCCAATGCAGCTAAAAGACTTAAGGAGAGGGCCGGCCGAGTGGCGTGTTGGTTAAGAGCTGGCTTGGGATGCCAGAGGACCCCGGTTCGGATCCCACATATGAGAGCCAATGACACTGCCCTCTACAGCTAAGATGCTGAACAACAGCTCGACCTGGAGCTGGGCTGCTGTGAGCCAACGGTGATGGCAGATGGGTTGACATGGGCTACTGTGTGTAGCCAGCAGCCAGCGTGAGCGGCCAACAGCCACAGTGAGCAGCCATCCAGAAGCCAGCGACTGATCTGCCTCGCCCAGGAAGACCGCAATGATGGTGCCAACTTGGGCCAGTGAAGCAACGTCCTCCACAACTAGACTGAAGAACAAAAGGATAGCAGCTTGTCTGTTCCCCTTCCCCCAATTCCCCAATTAAAAAAAAAAAAAGACTTAAGAAGTCTCCTGAGAAGTTTCTAGGAAAGTTTTTCCCTCACTGATACATGAATAGAAACACTTTAAGGAAAGGCCTGCTTGAGGCAACAAACTTTTGAATGAAAAGTGCAAATATCAGTATGGCAGAGTGAAGATTGAAAAAAGCTGGAATCCTTGAAGACTGATCAACTGAATTAAAGTCACTCATAATCAATTTCCAACCTTTTTGTTATGTGAGGAAAATAAATCCCTATTTGTTTATACTTCCCCATGTATTTACAGCACAGTTACCCCTTGGTATCTACGGGAGATTGGTTCCAGGGCCCCATGGATACCAAAATGCTCAGATGTTTAAGTCCCTTATATAAGATGGCATAGTATTTGCATATAAACTACACAATCCTCCAGATTTAAATTATCTCTAAATAATTTATAATACATAATACAATGTAAATGCCATATAAATAGTTGTTATGCTGTATTGTTTAGGAAATAATGATAAGAAAACAAAACCTGTACATGTTCAGTACAGATGCAACCATCATAGCCTTAACTACATAGTACATGTCAGCAACAATGTAACATTTTTTCCAAATATTTTCAATACATGATTGTTGAATCATCAGATGTGGAAATTGTGAGTATGGAAAGCCAAGTGTACTCTTCATTCCTTTGTATAGACATCATTTTTCTTCTGTCTGAAAGACTTCCTTTAACATTCCTTGTATGCACACCTACTAAGTGAGAATGTTTTTCAGCTTTCTATGTGTGAAAAAGTCTTCATTTTGCCTTCATTTATGAAAGGTATTTTCACTGGGTGTAGAATTCCAAGTTGACAATTTTTTTTCCTTTCTTTCAGTAAAGATATCACTCTACTAACTTCTGACTTTCATTGTTTCCAATGAGAAGTCTGATATTATTCTTATTTTTGTTCCTCTATATATAAAGTTTCATTTTTCCATGGCTGCTTTTAAGATTTTCTTTAGGTTACTGATTTTAAACAATTTGATTATCATGTACTTTGGTGTAGTTTTCATTATATTACTTGTATTTGGTGTTTGTTGAATTTTTTGATCTGCGGCTTTGTAGTTTTCATCAAATTTAGAAAAATTTTGGCTTTCATTTCAGCAAATTTTTTCTGTGCTCCTTTCCCCCTCCCATTCTCTTATTTCCTTCAAGGACTCTAAATACACATACATTAGGTGGCTGACAGAGGTCCCATACCTAACTGAAGCTGTTTATTTTGTTTTTAGTCTTATTTCTCTCTATGTGTCATTTTGGATAGTTTCAGTTGCTATGTCTTTAGGTTCACTTTGAGTTCTTCTTCAGTGTCTAATCTGCTGTTAATCCCATCCAATGTATTTTTTCTTTCACCTCAGACATATTTTTTATTTCTAGATATTTTATTTGGTCTTTCCCCCCTCATCTTCCATGTTCCTGATTAGCATGATTATGTTTTTCTCTACTTTCTTAAGCTTGTAGAATATAGTTATAATAACTGCTTTAATGGCCTTATTTACTAATTCTATTATTTATATTATTTCTTGGCAGGTTTCAATGAATTGATTTTTTTTAAATTTTATAATACACATTAGACATTTATGTAAAAGGTGTTCCATTTTTCAAAGAAGTTTTCCTTATTTCTCTGTCTTTTCTATCTTCCTTAGGGCAAAAAGCAGTAATTACTACTGTTATAGATAAGCTTCTCTATTGTGTTGGGAAGTAATTATAACTTTATGTTTTATAATAAGTCATTATCATCTCCAAAAACTCCCTTTCATTTCACTGCACTGTTTCATAGTACAATTGTACTCTACTCAAACTCAAAGAGCCTGAACAAAAGCCAGAGGCCCAAGTATGTTTAGGTACTGATTTAGTAACAGTGTCTATTGGCACAAACCTATTTATTCATATTATTAAAACTGCAAAAGTAGAAATGAAAGCTACTTTAATGAAAAATGAACCCAGGAATGAGATCATTAAATATAACTAAACACATTTTAATTATAAATAGCATGTATTTCCTGATTAGTATTAATGAAATATGTACGTTATCTATCCCAAATTCTGGTCTAAGAGAAAAAGATCAGAGACAATTACAAAGAAGGTTCTTTACATTATCAGGTCCCTTTTGAAAACAATGAGGTCCTCAGGGACAAGCCTTTTAGTCATTCTTTTTTTTAAGATTTTTTTTATTGGGGAATTGGGGGGATGGGAACAGTGTTGGGGAATTGGGGGAAGGGGAACAGACAAGTTGCTGTCGTTTTGTTCTTCAGTCTAGTTGTGGAGGATGTTGCTTCACTGGCCCAAGTTGGCACCATCATTGCGCTCTTCCTGGGCGAGGCAGATCATCAGTCGCCGGGAAGCCGGCCGCTCACTGTGGCTGCTGGCCGCTCTCGCTGGCTGCTGGCTACATATGGTAGCCCATGGCAACCCACTGCCACAGGGGCTGCAGCCTATGCCGTCGCCGGGGACTCACTGGCAGCCCAGCTCCAGGTTGAGCTGTCGTTCAGCATCTTAGCTGTGGAGGGCAGTGTCACTGGCCCTCATAAGTGGGATCCGTACCAGGGTCCTCTGGCGTCCCAAGCCACTTTTTAACCTTCGCGCCACGCGGCCAGCCCTAGTCATTCTTTTTATCAGAGGTTTCTGTTGGTCCTTTTGTTGGTAATCCATTTATGGCTGTACCCTCATAGTTTACTTTGCCTTTGCTTTTATCATTGGATTCTCCTATAGCTTTTCTAAGCCACATACAACTACCAAAGGTGGAAATCAGAGGGTATATGTATGGCTCCAGGAAATTTCTGTAGACTCAGAGAAGAACTGGAATGACAATACAAGGAATGCACACTATTGTCCCAGGCTTGAGCTCCTGAACTGAGATGACTAAGCCCAAATGGTGAATTAATTTTTTTTAATTACAGGCCATATTTTCCTGCTTCTTTGAATGCCTGGCAATTTTTGATTAAATGCCAGACATTGTAAATTTTATCTTGTTAGTTGCTGATTATTCTTGTTTTAAAATTTTGTTTTTTCTTTTATTATAAGGTTTTTCCATTTGGGGAATGTGAGCTCAATGAATTATTCCACCTGCTCCTTTCAGATGGTTCTTTCTCCAGCCTTGGGTAATTTTCTCACATGTATGTTCTGAAGAGTAGCCAGTTGAAGACCCAAAGGTAATCTTCTGCAATCTTTAGAGCTCTGTTTAAGTGCAGTGGCCTCCTTTTTGGTACTCTTTCCTATGAATTATAGCCTCTTTGACTTCCCTGTACTTACAGCAAAATCTTCTCAACTCAGGGATACTGTGAACTATTCGGGTTTCTCCTCCCTGGGAGTGAGCCAAGGCATGCCCTGCCTATTGTCCAATGTTTGAAAATGATTGTGTCATATATATATATATATATATATATATATATATATATATATAAAATTAGATTTTAGACAAGAGGGTAAATTTGGTCCCTAGTACTCTGTCTTGGTCAAACTTAGAAGTTAACTTCCTATTTACTTCTGCCAGTCTTAGGATTTCTGTTATTTGCAGCTAAAAGCATTCTTTTTTTTTTTTATCACATAAGGAAGCATTTATTTGAGATTTAACATGAAATCATACAAATAAAATTTGTATAAACACAAATTCACATTGAGTCATAACACAGACAGCAAAAGACAAAAGTTAAAACAAAGAAAACTAATTGGCGGCTATATACAGTTGGACACAGTTGTGTCTTGTACACTAGAAAGTCTTTTACAAAATAATCATCTTAGATCAACAGAAGACCAAACTTCAATGTCGTCCTGCAAGATGGGTTACGTTAGCAATCTCCTCCTGTTTTCTCCCCAATGCCCTCCTTTAGTATGGCTGATAATTGTTTTGGTGATTGCCACCCCCTCGAGATGCCTTGCCGTAAGTGCTCTGTTGGCCGCTGCAGTCTGCATATCCCTGTCCATATCCATAGTTCCCATAGTTATACCCAGTATAATCAGAGCTGCCATGGCCACTATAGTTTTGATCACCACCATAGGCACTAGTTTAATTTCCATATCCTTGATCATAATAGTTATTAAATCCTTGGTTCCAGTTTTGGCCCTGACCTCAGCCACGACCCCCAGTACCACCTCGTCCACCAGCTGCAGCACCTCTTCCTCCTTTTTGTTGTTGCTGTTGCTGCCTATATTACCTCTTTGGGTTGTGCAAGTTTGATTTCACACTTCCCAGAACCAATTTGATGGTATCTGCTTTCTAACAATTTCTTTACTGGCTCTTCATCTGTATATGTGATAAAACAAAATCCTCTTCTTTAGTTTGTTTTTGTATCCATGGGAAGTTCAATATTTTCAATCTCTCCAAATGCTCCAAAATATTCTTTAATTTGTTCTTCAGAAGTATCTGGACTCAATCCACCCACAAAAACCTTTTTGGGAGGTTCCTTTCCTTTTAAAGCTTTGGCCCTTTTGGGGTCTATCAATTTGCCATCCAGTTTGTGTTCCTTCAGTTCCAAAACCTTATCAACACTAGCAGCATCTTGAAAAAGCACAAATCCAAATCCTCTTGATCTTCCGGTGACTGGATCTGTTTTAATTGTGCAGTCTACAACTTCCCGAAATCGAGACAAATATTCAGTCAGATCTTTCTTGCTTGTGTCCCAGCTCAAGCTTCTAATAAACATTTTACCGACATCCTGCTGATTCTTGCTTGCGTTGATTTTGGATCCCTCTGCAAATTCCTCTATGTTGCTATATTCGTTCATGTCCTCCATAGTGGCGGAGTTGTCGGCCCGGGTGTGTGTGTGTGTGTGTGTGTGTGTGTGTGTGTGTGTGTGTGTGTGTGCTGGCGTGCAGTCCGGGTCGTGGCAGCAGAGGCGGCTGAGCTGTATAGAGCTGGATTTAAAATGAAGGCGGAAGAGAGCGCTAAAAGCACTCTTAACGGATATATGCCTCTTTGTAATCATTTAGATGGATAAATTATGTTCTAAGACATTATCTTTACTGTTTATCAGACAAAGAGTAAAATCATTTAAATGGTGATATACTAAAGTAACTATAATTTAAAAAAAGATGACTATCATCATCACTATATGTGACACATTGAAGGTTGCAGCTAATGTAGCGAGATAAGAAAATAAAAATATATGCGAATAAGTATTGGAAATAAAGTGACAAAGTAAATTTGATTTTTCAGATGATATGAATGCATAACAAGAAAATCTAAGAGACTTTGGCAAAAATAACGTTTGCTTATCATTAATAAGAGAATTTATCTTATGGTAAATTTGAAAATAGTTTTTCTTTAAATTACAAATAACTTCCTGGAAAGAGTAATTTTAAAAAGCCATTCCAGTTATCAATAAACTATGAATACCTAGAAATAAATTTAACAAGGTAGGATCTCTATGTGAGAAAAGCAATACATTTTATTGAAAGAACCCAAACAAAACCTTTATAATCATAATCAGAGCATCCTGGAAAGGGTCTACAAATTTGTATTTTGATAAAGCTCTCTTAGTTGATTCTGAGGTGTAGCCAGATTTGGAACTACTGGTCTAGATGTCTGGAAGACACAATGCCCCCAAATACTTTGCCTGTTGTGCTACTACAATACCTGAAATTCTCATGCTACACTTAAATATTAAAGATTACAATTGATGTTCAAATATCATCAATGTGTAACAGTTGCCAGTGACAGAAACCTAACTTAAGCAAACTGGTTAACACAACTGAGAAAAAGGAGGACAGATTTTTCAGTCATTGCTTGCTCCAATAATTCAAATGATGTTCAGGGATTGAACTTCAATCCCCATTTCTGGGAATATTCTCTCTCCAATTAATGAACAAGAAATTTGTTTTCAGGCTATGAATCACAATCATGATTGTGTGTAGGGGGAAAGGGAGGGAGAGAGAGAGAGAGAGAGAGAGAGAGAGAGAGAGAGAGAGAGNGAGAGAGAGAGAGAGAGAGAGAGAGAGAGAGAGAGAGAGAGAGAGTAAGAGAGAGTAAGAGAGAGAGGGAGAGAGAGAGAGAATTAGAATTTTCTAATAGGTTTTTTCTAATAGAATTTTCTAAGAGTTCCCAAGAATCTCTTGCCAATCATGGGTCACACTTTTATCACTGTGTGGGGAAAAGGGTGTGGCAAGCCACATCTAAACCATCTTTAATAGCTTCTCTTTAGGAAAGAAGGGTTCTGTCATCAAATAAAAATGGATGTGATGTGGGGAAGTCAAAATAAGAGATGATTGCTACCATATGGTATGATAGGGGCAAGGAACTCATTGGACCAGTGCTTCCCAAAGTGTAGTCTCTGAGACGCTTTCAGGAGGTTCACATCATTTTTCATAAAAATATGTTATTTGTGTTAACACATGATGAGTTTATTATAATTTTAAAATAAAGAAGTAAATATGTAAAAGTTTTATTCATTTCTTTAAAGCAGTAAATATTGATAAACACATATAATCACATAAACAAAAGATCTTTGAGGTCCTCAATAATTTTTAGGACTGCATAGAGGTTCTGAGACCAGAAAGTTTGAGAACTACTGGCATATGCAAAAATTGGCTATTTGACAATTTTGCCATGTAGTAGCTCCACTCACTATGGTTAATCTGGGATCTGCAAAACCATTACTGAAAGAAGTCCTGTATATATATAAATCTAGAAGGACTTAAAGTTCCATTTCATGGATTAAGAAAACCCATGTGAATGAAGGAGACATGAAGAACTCATCTTCTGCACAGCTAAGAAAACAGAATGTCCTCTGATTATTCCTTTCCCATTGTAAGTACTTAAAATGCACAAGTTAAAGGTTGTTTGGAAATGTTGAAAAGATAAGGTTTAGTTTTCAGTCATTTTCAAAAGAACAGCAGGACAAGTTAATAAGTAAAATACTAGGGTAGGCAATAGCATAGGAAAAGAAGCAGTGAGACACATTACAGTATATAAATGGCTTCCAAGAAAAATGAATGTATGTGTCCAACCAAAATATATATATGAGTGTTAATAGACATTTTATTTATGCAGCCAAATTTTTGAAAAAATAAAATGTCTACCAATAGTAGAAAGGATAAATTTTGGTGTATTCATGAAACGAAATGTTATCCAGCAATAACAAAGAACAAACTACTGCTAGACGTAAGCATACGGATGAATCTGACAGATATAATGACGGGTGGAAGAAGCCAAGCACAATGTATACATATTGTTTGATTTCATTTATGTAAATTTCAAGAACAGGTAAAACTAATCTATGATAATGATAGAAATCAGATTAGTGGATACTTCTGGTGTGTGTGTGTGTGTGTGTGTGTGTGTGTGTGTGTGTGTATTAGATTCTATTCTGTGTTACGAATTACCTGAAATCATAATTGCATAAAACAAAAAATATTTATTATCCCACATAAATTTCTCAGGGTCAGGGATTCTAGAACAGCTTATCTGGGTGGTTCTGGTTTGAGGTGTCTCGTGAGGTTGCAGTCAAGATGTCAAACAAGGTGCAGTCATCTGAATGTTATGCTTTAATAACATGTGTCCAAAAAAGCAATGGCTTCCCTCCCCATGTTGCTATACTGGAAGCTCTGCCTGTCTTTTCACTACTTCTGTGTACCTGGCACAGTCTGGCACACAGTAGACACCTATGACACCTATGTCAATTTAGTCCCTTTCAGTTGCAAGTGAAAGAAAACCAAAATCAGACTGGTTTATTTTATTTATTTATTTATTTTATTTATTTATTTTTTTTTTAGCTGAGCCATCCTGCTACCTGTTGGCAGCTCAGCGGCTGCTCAGCTCGGGCTGGACTCGAACCGCTGTTGCTCAGAGCTAAAAAATCAGACTGGTTTAAACCACAAGAGGATTTAATTTGCTCAGTGTGCTGGTTAATTTTGTGTCAACTGGACTGGGCCATTCGGTGCCCAGATATTTGGTCAAATGTTATACTAGATGTTTCTGTGAGGGTGTTTTTGGATGAGGTTAACATTGAAATTAGTAGTCTGAGTAAAGAAGATTGCCCTCCCTAATGTGAATGGGTCTCATCCAATCAACTGAAGGCCTGAGTAGAGAACAAAAAGGTTGACCTTCTCCTAAGTAAGAGAGAATTCTTTCCTGCATCTGCCTTCCACCTGGGGCGTGGACTTTCCCTGGGTCTTGACACTGCCAGCCTTTAATAGGAATTACACCATTGGTTCCCCTGGTTCTCAGGCTTTCAGACTTTGACTAGAACTAAACCATTGCTCTGGTTGAGGCCCAATCTAAGTCTCCAGATTGCCAATTCATCCTGCAGATTTTGGGACTTGCCCTCCTCCATGATGGCATGAGCCAATACCTTACAGTAAATATCTTTGGCTCTTATTGGTTCTGTTTCTCAGGAGAACCCTGACTAATACACTCAGTAACTGGAAAAGCCTGAGGTCTGTCTGGCTTCAGGAGAGGATTGAGTCCAAAATAAAAATTTCACTGAAAATATTTCCTTCTGTCTGTCTCTGTCTCTTTCCCTCTCTCATCTTGGTGTTGCCTCCAAATTCAGGCACCTTATGGTGTTCCTCAGAGATCCAGACATTCTCATCATGAAAGCAAAATTGCTGTAGATGCTTTCCATTTTCACATCACACCTTGCGGGGAAAAGAAAGCATGTCTTGGGCCGGCGAGTGGTGCGTTGGTTAAGAGCTGGCTTGGGATGCCAGAGGACCCCGGTTCAGATCCCACGTATGAGGGCCAGTGACACTGCCCTCTACAACTAAGATGCTGAACAACAGCTCAACCTGGAGCTGGGCTGCCATAAGTCGCCGGCGACGGCAGGTGGGTTGCCATGAGCTACCGTGTGTAGCCAGCAGCCAGTGTAAGTGGCCAGCAGCTTCTGTGAGCAGCCGTCCAGAAGCTGGAGACTGATCTGCCTCACCCCGGAAGAGCACAATGATGGTGCCAACTTGGGACAGTGAAGCAATGTCCTCCACAACTAGACTGAAGAACAAAACGACAGCAACTTGTCTGTTCCCCTTCCCCTGATTCCACAATAAAAATCTTAAAAAAAAAAAAGAAAGCATGTCTTTGGTAGTGCCTATACTCTGGGGTGGGGGGTTACTTTCATATGGGACCAAATTGGATCAATTGCTCATTCCTGAACCAGCCACTGTGAGCAGGTGGATAGACTATATTGATTGGCTCATGCCTATTAAGGACTAACCCCTGGAGCTGTGTTCTAGTAGTGCATCAAAAAAGGGCAAGTACCTACATCAGGAAAGTGAAAGGTTTCCTAGGTCTGTTAGCTTAGTGTCACTGGGCAGAATATATCACTTGGCTATCCTAGCTGCAAGAGATCCTGGGTAATTTAGTATATTTTGCTGGGATCTTATTATAGGAATAGGAAATAAAATAAACAAATGGGACTACATAAAACTAAAAAGTTTTTGCACGTCAGAGGAAACCATCAACAAAACGAAAAGACATCCTACTGAATGGGGGAAGGTATTCACCAATAATACATCTAATAAAGGGTTAATATTTAAAATTTATAAAGAACTCATGCAACTCAACTATCCCTAGTAATCCAATTAAAAAATGGTCAGAGGACCTGAATAGATATTTCTCTAAAGAGGACATACAGATGGCCAATAAACATATAATCATCAGAGAAATTCAAATCACTAATCATCAGAGAAATTCAAGTTAAAACCACAGCAAGCTATCACCTCACACCTGTCAGGATGGCTATCACCAATAAACCAAAAAACAAGTATTGGCGAGGGTGTGGAGAAAAGGGAACCCTCGTGCACTGTTGGTG